TAGCTCTCAGGAAACATTCTCAGAGGGCCTATCCCTGTGAAGCCAAAACAGCAAGTCTTTTCCTAGTTGGAATGAAACTAACTCTATCAGAATGGTTGTTTTTGCATCCTAGAAACTCAGGTAAACATTCAGAAAATACACAGATGAGGTTCAGGAATTCAAGCACAGTGCTGCTTGGGTGTGTTAGAGCAAGCAGAGTAACTGCATGGAGAAACATCTCTGTCCTGATACATATTTCATACTATTTTGTTTAGAGTCACCAAGTGGATTAAGGAATAAGATCCTAGACCTGGGATTTCAGATGAGAAGATGATTGTCTTCAGAGCTCAGACATTTCTGTCCTTGGAGAGCTGTATTTCCCATGTGACGATTTTTCAGTCAGAAGAGTTTCTCCTGACAGCTCTGGGCCATCTCACTTTTTGTTTTCCTTAACTAAGGGTTTCAAAAAATTTTTTAAAATGAGGGTTTTGTCAAAAATCCTCGACATAGTCTCTTTCATCCAGCTTCTCCATTAGTAAGACACAGTGAGTAATTTAAGGTTTGACATTGTCCAGGGATGACAGCCTGGATGATGTGATCCAGAAAAGGTGGGTGCTTTTAACACTCAGACCCCCCACCAGTTGACTTAAGTTACCCTTTCTTCCTTACTCCTCATTCTTGAGCCTGATGCTAACCTGCTTCTACCAGTTTAGCCTTGGGAATTTCATTTCCTTTTATTCTTCTCTCTAAACTTCCTTGTTTTATATATTTAAGAGGCTAGCAGGCACTAGGTTAATCAAAGCTAAATTTATTTTAGCTGAGGCACACTTGCTACATTGTCATTTTAATGTTCTTAGGTCCTGTGTGGACAAAGAGTTGAAAGAAACATACGCTCATTTTAATGTAAATTTTTCTATCTTCTATGTAAATTAAAGAAGCTATAAAATTGACCCATCTCTCTTATTTTTCAGATAGACCACATGGTACAAGGCCATGCTGCTTTCCCAGAACTGCAAGCGAAGGCCACAGCCAGGTAACTGCTATCTCTGTTTACTCTAAAGCTTTGCTTCTGTGACTGTATTGAGAGCATTCACTTTGGGCTATTGGGTGATTTTCAGATCCTATGGACAATAAAGATGCCTGTTAGTGCTTAAAAGGTAGTCATGTGGATGATCCAGAAGATATATGTATTAATTCTTTAAATGATGTAAAAGAACTTAGAGAACCTAGAGATTCCCCAAGAATATACCCAAGGACTATGGATAAGAAACTGATATAGAAGGAGGAGCATGGATTCTGGAATCAAAACTTCTTAGATTCACATCCCATCCTTACTCCTTAATAGATATAGGACCTTGAGCTAGTTACTTAACCTCTTTACACCTGTCTCTTCGTCTGTAAAACTGAAGATAATATCTGATACAGAGTGATTTCTAGAATATTTTGAAGAAAATCGAGTGCAAAAAGTATTTACAATGTAGTTCCTTTCATGTAAAAAGAAAGAGGTAGGGAAATACATGTGTATCTATTCATTTTTGCAAAAGAAATACAGGAAGTTTGAACCAGAAACTAGTAAGATTGGTTACTTACAGGGTATGGTAGGAATGTGGTGGAAAGAATGTGGGAATGCGAACATGGTAGCAGGAAGAAATGACACTTCTCTGAGTATACATCTTTATATAACTATAACTCTTAGAATCATTGTGATGCCTCATGTCCTGATCGCTGGATAAATAGATGATAGATAAATAGCCAGGATATATGTGTATGCTGGGGTGGGCAAAATGAAATACACACAGTAAAAACTGAACCTACTGTATTACAAAGGGGGTTGGGAAAAGAAAAGAACCTAAGTAAATCTGGGAAAGAATATTTTGACTGTATGCCATATTGCTAAAGAGAAAAATAGCCATCCATAAATATTATACTCTAATTGGTGAATTTGTTTTTCATAGGTGTCTGGGTTAGCTGTATTGACACCTCTTTAAGTGTATGCTACAACTGAGTGAAGAAATCAATATATTGTGGATAATGAGAGCCAGGTTCCTCACAAATGGGAAAAAGAGCAGGTTAGAATGAACCTTATGGTGTCAGTAGCAACTTATGATTATATATGTGTATATGTATAAACAGGTACACAGTTGTATATAAATATAAGTAAATATAGATATATATATATTCATGCATGAATAAACATGTATATGCTCCCTACCTCTCTGTGCTGAGATGGCCTGGAAGCAATGACACCTTAGTAGCAATGTGTATACCTAGCTCCCAGATACCGGATTCTAAATACCATTCTCCCATTTCTCTAGTAAAAGTAATCAGGACTTCTTAGAAAGTTGGCTAAGTCTAGGGTTGGGGCAGTAAAATTATGGTGCCAGAAAGAAATAAGTTACTCAACAAGGAATTGTCAAAGTACATTTGAACTAGCTTTAAGAATCTCTCAGTGGCCTACTCAGGATAAAATAAACAGTAATAGCATGAAATAAGTCTGTAAGTAAATAACTTCATAAGTAAATTACTGAAGAAGGAACTAAATGAGAAAGAAAGGACAGGGCTTCCTCTTCACTGTCAGAACAGTAGCTGTACAATTAATAAATGTAGAAGATCACGCTTGTAATCCCAGCACTTTGGGAGGCCGAGGCGGGCGGATCACAAGACCAAGAGATCGAGACCATCCTGGCCAACATGGTGAAACCTCGTCTCTACTAAAAATACAAAAATTAGCTGGGCGTGGTGGCATGTGCCTGTAGTCCCAGCTACTTGGAAGGCTGAGGCAGGAGAATTGCTTGAACCGGGGAGGCAGAGGTTGCAGTAAGCTGAGATGCGCCACTGCTCTCCAGCCTGACGACAGAGCGAGACACCACACCGTCTCAAAAATAAATAAATAAATGTAGAAGAAATAATGGAAATAGAAAATCATCATTAGGTAAACACTACAGAGATAAATGTTGCAGGCAAAAATCATCAATCGATGCTAAAATTACTGAGTAAAATTGGGAAGCAGGTTATTATCATAATCCCAGAGGATTTCAGTACAAGATTCTAATTAATATGAAGAGGAAAATAATAACTTCCAGTAGATAAATTTGGCAGACAGCACCTTATCCAAGTGATGAAGGTTAGCAACACCAGCAATAACATGTAGTAAAATCATGTGTCTTCTTTTATGATGCATCAACGAGGACACAACATCATATCTGCCATGTTCTTGCCCAAACTGATTAAACTCAATGGAAATATGGGAAACATCAGACAAACCTAAATTGAGAGACATTCCACAAAGCTATTAGACAGTTTACTCCAAAGGAAAATTCAGAAACTTAAATACTGAAGAACTGCTGTAGACTGGAGGAGACTTAGGGAAGTACTACAACTAGAAACAATATATAATAGTGGATTAGACTCTGGACCAGAAAAAAGACATTAGTGGAGGAGAACTGTTGAAATTCAAATAGAGATTAATAGTATTGTTGTTTATGTTAATTTACTAGGTGAAGGGTAAAAGGTAACTCTGTCTGCTATTTTTGTAACTTTTGTGAAAATCTAAAATTATTTTGAAAGAAAAAGTTTAAAAAGTAATAAATTAATGAATTTCATGATAATAATGCTCCATTGTCAGGCTGTTTAAGTAAAGGAAGCTACTTTTTATAGAATTATCAGAGAAATCCATGTAGCTATCACAGGAGAAAAGAGAAATAGTCTGAGGTGGCCATTAGTAGACTCTGAAGCCAAATTGCCTTTGCCTCAGCTTTGCTCCTTATTCACTGTGTGTTTCTGAGCTAGTTACTTAACCTCTATGCCTTAGTTCCTTACTGTAAAGGGAGTAATAGTAAATACTTCTTAAGGTTGTTGAGAAAATTAAATGAATTAGAATAGTGGCTGACACAGAGTGATAATTAAGCATCAAGCTGTAATAGGTGCTCCATTAAAAAATGGTAGTGATAAAAATGATTGTTGTAGTTAGTCTATTAGACATTTACATTCTAATGACTTACATTCTAATAGTGCCAACACACCTACGCAGAGCAGAATAAATGCATACTCTACTAAAATATAAGTAGTGTGTCATCAGGGTGTGTAGAAAAGGAGGACTGATCTTGACAAGGAGTTTGAGAAAAGCTTCATATGCATTCCCTTCTAGGAGTCTTTAGTTACGATGCCATTGCAATTAGTCATTAATTGCAATTACCATTGAGAGGGGTTATGCCACATAACCTTATCAACTAGCATATTAGTTGGCTTAGAGACCATATAACCAAGAACAGGGATTCCTAATTGCAGATCATCATTTAACCTCTTGAAATTGTGCCCTGTTTTGTTGATTACATAATTCTGCATGCATTTCTGTGAAGGGGGCCATAATGTTCATTATTTTCTTAAAGGGATTAAGCATTTATAAATCACTAAGCCAAAGAACACAGCACTAGATTTATAGTTCAGAGATCTGGATTCAAATCTCAGCTCCAACACGTATCATTCTGTGAAACCCATTTTCCTCATTATAATATAGAATAGTAGTGCAGAATCAGACCGAGATACCTTTAAGGATTTATTTTGAGTTTAGAAGAGCTAATATATTTGACAGGAAACTTAGTTTACAGGGCTTTGTAAACTGAATTATGACAATGATGATGACCACTACCACAACTACTACTGCTGTATTAGTCCATTCTCGTACTGCTGTGAAGAAATACCTGAGACTAGGTAATTTATAATGAAAAGAGGTTTAATTGACACACAGTTCTGTGGGCTTGGGAGGCCTCGGGAAACTTACAATCATGCTGGAAGGGGAAACAAACACATCCTTCTTCACATGGTGGCAGGTGAGAGAAGTGCTGAGCAAAAAAGGAAAAGCCCCTTATAAAACTGTCAGATCTCCCGAGAAGTCACTCACTATCACAAGAACAGCCTGAGGGCAACCACCCCCTTGATTCAATTACCTCCTTCCAGGTTCTCCCACAACACATGGGGATTATGGGAGCTACAATTCAAGATGAGATTTGGTTGGGGACACAGCCAAACGATATCAACTACAATTATTACTATTAATGATTATGAGAGGAGGAAGTTTTGGTGGTGGTTGCTCTGGGTTCAAGCAGCAGATGTCAGTCATTTATACCCTGCCTGCCTTCTTGTGGAAAGCATGGAAGAATAGCAAGGACAGGGACTGGGAATTAGAAGGCTTGGATTCTTGTACCAGTTCTGCCGTGAATGTCTCAATGACTCCTAGATTCCTCACCCATAAATTACAATAATACTACCCTTTAACTCTAACTCTTTTCCTCTAAACTTAATTCATTTTACGTGCATTACTAGGATGAAAACAGGTTGCAGGAATGTCTATATGTGAACATTTTAGTGCTTAACACAGACTTAGTAAATAATTAGTTTTACAATGACATACTCAAAAACTCCAGAACTTTCTTCTATAGATGAACTTCATTTGAGTAGCTTCTGTTGCAAATCATAATAAAAAGAGGGAAGAATTTATGGATTAGCATGCAAACTCAGAGAAACAACAGTATAGGGTGGTTCAGAAACAGCAACTTACAGAATTCAGTCATGGAGTCAGAACTGAATTTAAATCCCACCTCTTTTTACATAACTTTATACTTCCAGCTACTTCCCTGTATTTCTCCATCTATTTAGAGTGAAGTTTCTCCAAAGCATTGCCTATACTCTTGGTCTCTACTTCCCTACTTTCTACTCCTTCCTTGCCCGCTCCAGTTTGAATTCTGTCACTATCAGCCCCCTGAAACATTTCATATTAAGGTTATCAGTGACCTCTATTTTGCTAAGTCCATAGGATGTTTTTTATTTGTTTCTTGAGTTCTCGGCAGCATGGGACATCAGTGATAACTTTTTCCTCCTTTTAACATTATCTTTCCTTGGCTTTCTGGAATGTTGCCCTCTCTGTTTTCTTCCGGGATCTCCTATTCCTCCTTTCTAATCTGCTTTTCTTGAGTTTATAGTTCTTTTCTTGACCATTAACATTAATGTTTATCACAGATAGCTTCTCTCTTTGCCATCTCTTCCAAGGTGATCTCAACTATGTTCTTGACTTCATTTCTTTCTATATTTTGAGGACTCTTTTGCATCCAGCCCAGATACTTAATAGGTATTTAGTAAATGTTAGTCCCATTTCCTTCCGCTTTTCTTTTATTGTCTTACAAAGGAAAGTGCATCTGTATCTCATTAGATCTGTGAGTACAATATTCTAAAACTATGGGACCCATTATACTTCAGATCTTAGAAAGAAATAGGCATAGCTGTAGTTAAAATGAAGTTAGCTGTTTGGAAGGGAGGGCAACTCCTTTTGAATCAAGAACGATGTATCTCTTTTGCTGTGACTTGAGGCTTTCTGAAAACAGCAATGAAGGTCACCCCTATCTCAGAGCTTAGGGTCAGCAAATCCTGTTTGAAACTGTGGAAACAAGTGTTGATAAACAGATTGAGTATTTTATACTCTTGATTTTACCATAATCCTCTTAGGCCCCATCTCTGAAGAGAAATGTTTTGTGAGCTTATAAATTAAGCAAACAAAAACTAGATGTGCCTGTACATGTAATTGGTAACCAAAGTTTCTCTTTATGTGGGGCCAGATATGCAGATATTTTACTCTTAGCAGAGATCACCTTACATTGATCATAAACTTTAACTCTTTTCCTCCAAACTTGATTCTCTTATAGAACCTTAACTAACAGTTTCTCTGAATGAGGTTCTGGTAACAACAGGGTTTAGTGAGAAGCTGTTGGCATAATCCACAAGTGCCAGATTCAAGGTTGGCAGCAAAGCAAAAGTTAAAATCCAGGGTCTGTGGTTCATCTGTCTGATGAGTATCTTTTAAGCATCCATGATACATGAATGAACCAAGCAAACAAAGTCTTTGCTTTCATAAAAATATATACACACATATACACATATACATGTAGTACATACATGCAAATATGCATACTACATACTTTTTTTTTTTTTTGCCTTAGCATTAGGAAAGGGAAAGGCCCAAGGAATCCACCTTGCAACTATCTGCTATGTCTTTGTGGTGAAAGCTTAGTTTTCCCTTCAATTTAATTTGGTGACTGTTTTCTTTCAAATTTGAGGAAAGCCACTCTGTTGGAGAAGTCCCCGAGCCTTTCAGTTTTCCCCATGCTGAATGTGAGGTTTAAACTGGTTTTTCTTTGTAATACACTGTTTCTGAAGGCCAGAGGCATCAGCCAGTGTGGTACCATGGCCTCTCTCTCCTCCCAGGGCGCATGGGCTTTAGGCCACCCAGGTGCCAGAGGTGGTGGAAGACCCAGTCAGTTGTTCCTTGCATATATATACATATATACATATATAGCCAGCCATCGATAAATGCTGTAACGAAAATTAGAGATAAATAAGGAGATATAGAACATTGGTTTCAAAGCCCTTAAAATTGTCTTTGCTATGCCTATTTTTTTCTAAGACCTGAAGTATAATGGATCCCATAGTTTTAGAATAATGTGCTTGTGCATATTTTTTCCCCCTCAACCTTTCTTTTTTCCTTCTTTCCTGAATTCTTCTATTATTTCTTTGAGGACAGGAAAGAGTGCAGAAAGCCTGACTGGACATTCTTAGTTGAGTTGTCTTTGGACATCTAAGAGGAGGCACTTTTGACACTTGTAGTTGGATACTTAATGTGGAACATATAAGAGAGAAATAGACAGGAGAGCAGGTTATATATTTGAAAGTCCTCAGCACTAGATGGTAACTGCAGCCATGAGAAGAGGATAGGATCGTCCAAGGGGAAATATAAAGAGCAAGAAAATAGTCAAAGACAGTAGGTCTCTGGAAGACATCAGATGTTTAATGAACAAGTGAAGAAGGAGAACCAGCTAAAGAGGAGGGAGGAAAATCGAGAGAGTGTAGTGTTTCAGAAATGAGAACAAATGAGGAAGAAGTGGTCAAATGGTGTAAAATGCAGAAAATGGTTCATGGGCACTAACAACAAAGAGGATATTATTCCTTATGGTGGGACCAGTTTCAGTAGAATGGGAGAGGCAGAATGCACAGTATATTGGGTTAAGAAGTAAAGAACTAGAGACAGACAGTATGGAAACTTCTTTTCTAAGACTTTCTCTTACTGCTAGAAAGGGCACAAGTATATTTTGTTATGCCATGTATTCTGATTTTTTGGTTTAATAGTATGGCCACCATACTCTGGGCAGCCTGTGAACCCAATGAATTAGGTGATTTATGAAGAGGGGGAGGACATGAGAGATTTCAGGGATGCTGTCTGCATTTAAGATTATAAGAATAAAGTCGGAAAAAAATGTTCCTTGATTCTTTAAAAACTGGAAATGAGTTTCTTATGATGGCAAAGAAGAGGAAACTATTTATTGATAACCTGTCATTTTATAGTGCTCAGGGCTCTATGTTTCATCTTCATAGCAGTCTTTGGGTAGAGAGTATTAGCCCCAATAGCAAAAAAATAAATAGAATCAGAGAGGGTTTGCCTACCTGATCATCTAGCTGGTACGTGGTGAAGTCACTTTATGATTATTGAAACTATATTTTCTTCGTAATACCCGATGGGATGTGGCCAGCAAAAACGTCTCCCTCTGAGACAGGATATATCAGCCTGAGGTTCATGAGAGAGAGGGAGAGTAATTCGTTTGGGATCACAATTCATGTGTGATTACCTAGCTAGAAGAGGGCAGGCTGCCATTTGAGAAGGAATTGATAAAACACGCAAAAATGAAACAAAGTCACAACCAAAAAAGGCATCATACAAGGTTAAAATTATGTGAATAATGATGTGCATTAGTTAGTTTAATGTCTTCCAAGTGCATTTCATTTCGAATGATATATTCAGATAGCACACATGGTAAGGTATAATTGAAAAAACATGTAGGGGAATGGCTGCATTCAAAGAATAAACATACAGCTGCAAGGAGGTTAGGAGTCAAAGGGGTAAGCATATGCCCCATCCCCCAGAGATTTCATTAGTGCATGAGTGGCCATATATGTAGAGGCTAAATGAATCTCACTGTTTGCAAAGACCTGAAGTAAATGGGACAATGACAAATCAATAGTAATTAGGCCTATAGATTCTTATTGACCCAGATGTCTGAAACCAAATGCCCTGCTCACAGATGCCTTGAGAGGCAGAATGAAAAGATTTATAGACATGTGCTTCCTTTAAAAAAATCCCTTTACTTTAAGAGCAGTGTCTATTCTGAAGTGGAAAGTTGTAAGAATTAGTGCAGACTCTTAACTTCTGGCTAGAAAAGATGTTTCTCGAGGCTTGCCTTATGAATGTGATTCCTGCTGGACGAGGAGCTGAGAGAGCAAAGGGCTGGAAAGATGGGAGAGTATCATATTCATGTTCCCTGATGTCCTGGCTCTGCCTTGTATGGAGGCTTCAGAAGTTCCTTTCCTGAAGCCATAATACAATCATTCTAAAACAGGGTTTTAACTTTTTGGGTCCTTGATAAACAACTTCTGACCTAAGATACAGAGAGCTCATGGCTTCAGAATCACAAGGAGAAAGGTTTAAATCTGGACTCAGACATGTCTCTTCACCCCTTCAAGCATCTCCCCTGTAAAGAGATGTTAGTGATACCTCCCCCACTGGGCAGTGCTGGAAGGTCTGGTGTATGCTTAGGGAATGGCAGCTGTGGTTGTTAAGCCTTTTCCCAGTAATATCTTATTCCTCCTAATATGGTCTAAGGAAGAAGATTTTTGCAGATGAGAATGAGCTATTACGGCAAGAAGCAAATAAACTGCTAGTAGGTAGGGCGATAGGTCTGCCCTCACCGCCACCCTAGCACACATCACATGCACTCACACATACACATATACATGTATTCACATTTACACACTTATGCTCACACAGAGCACCTTTGCTTTTTGGTATTTTTACACTGAATATTCACATAAAATTTTTAGTAAAAGAGTTCCACTGATAAAGGGGAAATAAAGAGAGTTTAAAAATTACTGCTCTACTCATTTGCTTGTTTCCTTACACCAAGTTTAGAAAACTTTTGGCAACTTCATGGGATCCATGGGGACACTCTCCTGATCACAAACTAGAGCTAGAAATCGCTGAGCCTTCCTTCTAAAACACTTTTAAAATGCAAAACATAAATAATGCCTTAGGTATCTTAGATAACCTCCTTCGGACATTGATTTCCTATACTTTTTTTTTTCTGCCATTATACAAGCCATGTTTTTAACCTTTAAAGAGACTTCCAAGGGCCCCAGGGGGAAGTAGCACAGAGCCCAACTGCTGGAATACCCACTTTCTTTTGAAATCATTGGTTCAGAACTTTTAGAAGGGCAGTACCTTTTAAGAGGGGAAGGCTGACCAGCTTTAATCTTTGGGCCGTGTGGTGTGATTTAACCCAGCAAGGTAGGTGTTACTAAACTATGTTATGAACGGGAGAGGTTAAGTCACTGGCCCATGTTACTGAGCTAAGACAGGTAGTATCAAGATCTGAACCGAGCAGAGCTCTCAAACTCGTCATCTTCACTCCACCTCTTTTCACCTGAACATGTGAAGAATGAGGGAGTTGGTCTAACTCCCTCATTTTACGCATGAAGAAACCAAGACTTAAAAAGAAGAAAAAGGCCAGGTGTGGTGGCTCATGTCTGTAATCCTAGCACTTTGGGAGGCCAAGGTGGGTGGATCACCTGAGATCAGGAGTTCAAGACCAGCCTGGCCAACATGGTGAAACCCCATCTCTACTAAAAATACAAAAAATCAGCCAAGCGGGGAGGCTGAGGCAGGAGAATCGCTTGAATCCGGGAGGCAGGGGGTTCATGGAACCAAGATAGTGCCATTGCACTCCTGCCTGGGCAACAAGAGTGAAACTCATCTCCAAAAAAAAAAAAAGAGAAGAGAGAGTGAGAAAAGAGGGAAAAACATACACAATGTCAATGTCATCTGGTAGGTTTAGGTTGGAAATCAGTTCTCTGATTCTGATCCTAACTGTATTCATAATATTCAGTCACTTTCCTTAGCAAAATCCTATCCTCAGTCTGGAAACTTATATTTCTCTTCATTTATCAACTCATCATTATTATTACAATTAGGAATACTGATTTTAATAAATTATTGACATATGTACAGTATTATACAGTTTACAAAATACTGTGCCTTCACATACATAATCTTCTTTGATCTTCACAATAACCCTATGAGGTAAGTTGGACAGGCATTATGATATCTGTTTCTACAGTTGAAAAGAGGGTGGTTCAGAACGTTTGAATAACATTCTCATGGCCGTACACCCACTAAGAGTAAAGCCATTCCTGGATCCAGTCTTCTGACTCCAAACCTTTGTGCTAGGACGTGGCACTTTTTTTGGTGATAGTGTAGTGTGATTTAGAGTACAGTTTGCTAGTTTCTCTGAAGCTTTTAGAAGCTTGCTTACTTTCCTGGATCTGATATGGAAGTACAAATGGTTTCTTTCTATAGGATGATTCGCTCCCTGACCCTACCCCCCTTTTAAAAATAAAACTCACTTCTCTTCCAGATGCCAGAGTGTATATGCATATTTGAACAGTCACCTGGATCTGATTAAGAAGGCTCAGCCTGTGGGTTTCCTTACTGTTGATTTACATGTTTGGCCAGATTTCCATGGCAACCGGTCTCCCTTAGCAGATCTGACACTAAAGGGCATGGTAAGTAACAGCTAGTGCGTGCACGTGGGTGAAGGCAGGCCAAAGGGCTACAAAGTTTGGAAGAAGCAAAGTGAGGAAAAAGGAAAAGGAGAAAAATAAAACAGGCCAACAGTCCACTGGCTTTGTGCAGATGCATTGCTGTTGTGAAGGCGGTTGCTCTCCCTGGGATGAGCTGCTGAAAGTTCTCATTGTTTCTGAGCCAACCTTGAAAGCATTAAAAGCGGCATTTCCTATGTTCAGCTACTGCTGCCTCTTTGTCCTGTAGAGTGGCTAAAAGTCACGCCTATGTAATTTTGGCATTTACATCGGTTTGTCAAGTCATGTTTTCCAACTGCTACTTTAGGTTGCCCAGTAAATCAGTGGTAAATATTACCACCCATGGTCTTGCTGGCCACAGTCATACATCTGCCTAGGCTCTGAGTCAGGGCTGGTCAGAGTCTACACTAATATAGTTAGGATTTCAGATTAAACTTTGTTATAAGTAAGTATAATTTGTAACTTTTGTTGGAGAATAAATCCTGCTCTTAGTGGCCTTTAGAATCACTTCCTCTGTGGATATTCTAGGCCCTGCTAGAGGAGCCAGATGAACTTGGTGGGAGAACTCTCAACCACCATAGTTGAGATATAAAATAATGACATCTTTAATACCAGGAGAATCATGTTTGAGGTGTGATGAAGCAGGTTAAAGCTAGAGGAGGGGCCAGCTGAGGCCACAACTAAGAAAATAAGCCATGAATGCAGGAACCAGGAAAATGTCATAAAGCTGAGAAGGTGTGAGGTATGTTAAGGCAGAGAGTTCGGAACAGAGGCTGTATGCAAAGGAAGCTGCGTAACAGTGAAGCAGGCCTGAAGGAGTCAAGAATTTAAGACTCAAAGTACTACAATTTTGTGGTTAGTTTTATTGAGATTATTTGAAATACTTTTATGATGCCAACAGGTAGACCTGAACTTTACTTTTATTACCTATGGACATAATCAACATTTTTTACTAAAAGGGAGTCATGGTGAAAAGAATAGAATATTAGACATGGCAAAGGTTGTGTTGATCTGGAGTCCATGAAGCATGCCTTCACAACAAATCATGAGCTTGGTGTCCTTGTTTATAGAGGCAGAAGAGGAATGTCCAGAGAGGGCCATGTGGCAACAGGCCACAGCTAGAAAGCCATGCTTTCACATAACCAATTCTGTGTGTAAGCAGAGGGTAGGGGAAGAACACATTTCATATGGGTACAGAAATAAGTGTCTTAATCAGAAACAAATATCTGAAGCCAAATACAGTTAGATACTTAAAATGTTGAAGAAGAAGCTTGACAGTGTTTTAAATGACCCCGAAACAAAGCAGTGTTGCACAGTAAAATGGTCATTGCTCTGGAGGTCCTTTGTTGCTTTAGATAAAACTGACCTGGGGGCCTTCCCTAGCCAACATCTGTCATATCCAACTTCAATACCCAGCATGTCAGGCTTCGTGTCTCCTAGTAGGTTTTATCCATTTCTTAAAACCAATCCTGACATCCAAGACCTAAGAATTATCATCAGAGCTATTCTAGTAAAATTGACTCAAATGCAGAATGTAATTCCAAAGAAATCAATGGAGTGATTTGAAGAATTCTCATATCATAAGAAAGTGTGTACGCACCAAAAGGGACTTCTTACATGGGGACGTGTGCCCAGTTGTATCTAAAAATCCTAGGTATTTTTACTTTGTTCAAAAGTTGTATATTTGTTCACATACCTCATATATCACTTGATATTTCTTGGCAATGATTTCCCTATATAACTGTCTTTGGGTTAGGCTACAATGGAATAGCTATCACTCCATGAACTTGCATCACAACACTGGGAAGAGGAGATGACCTAAATAAGATGGAAGAAAGGCAATTCTGACCTAGATACTTCACTGCAAATCTCCTTCCTTCAGTTCAGTTTTAGAAAACATCAAAATAATCACCCTGAAATTCTTCTATTATCGTGTTGTATCCTTTTGCTGGGACCTACAATGAAGCTTATCTCCAGCACTCACTCAGCAAATACTAGTTGGGTCCCTATTGTGTGCCAAGCACTGCTGTAGATATAAGTGAGGTACAACAATACCTACCTTTATGCAGCATGTTTAAGGTTGGGGGTGGGGGACTGCTTGATAAAATGTTAATAGCAACTGGAATTGCGGGATAATTCCAATAAAGCAAGATCTATACACAATTTCTTCTTTTGGCTACTAAAACATTTCCCTGGACACATAGTGAGTGCTGAGTATGTACTTATTTATAATTTATAGGCAACATGGAGATAATAAAGAGGTTATTTGTTGCTTTAGATAAAACAAACATATGAAGAATTTACTATACCTAATGAATTAAATGGCAACTTTAATCTTTACTATCCATACTTTAATCCTGCTATCCATTAATACCAATATTAATATCCAAGTAAACTAAGATAAGCTCCCATTGAATCATAATTATGAGAATGCTTGTTCATCAAACAAATACAGGCTCCGTTACAGTTGGTGGGGAGTATAAGAGTGACCAGACACAATCCCAGCCCTCAGGAATACCACCATCTTTGAGAGGTAGACAGAATATATAAACAGGGAATGGAAAGGTGATTTTAAGCTCCAGATGCCCTTCTCCACCCAAGGCTCTCCAGACACATGGAAGACAATTTCCCAACCTGGTCCCAGCAGTCAGGAAAGGCTCCATACAGGAAGTAATATTGACAATGAGTGAAGCTGGGAGGGGTTTGAAGCTAAGGGAATCATAGTATGTGCAGTATTCTAGAGGCAAGAGAGCATGGCATGTGAATGTCTACAATTTTGGCTCCTTGTGCCATTGTCTAATCAATGGTAGATTGCCTTTAGCATTTTATCTTAATAATAAAAAAGAAAATGTTTTCTTGGAAAACCGCTGAATATCCG